CTGATGTAGTGAGGATAAGATCCCCTGAAATGGTGCTGGCACCTTTTGAGATAGGTAGTTGGTCCTACATGTTGGCACACTTTATGTCAGAGTTCATGCTGATGGAATGTAGCTGTGATTCTAGGCCGGCCCAACAGCAGAAGCATCAGCTCAGCAGTAGCTACAGCAAGGCAACCCTCAGCGACGCTCCCACCAAAGCCCTGGCCATTCTGCTGTTGCTCCTTGGTCATGATGGTGCACGTTGTCCCCTGCACTGCATGGGAAAGCAGCAATCAGCAACGGCTGGATCTTGATTTGGCGGCCCTGGTGGAGCTTTCATAGTAGACGATTCACAAGGAAGAAAAGATCAGCAGGCACTCATGCACACACAGATGCTTGAGCAACAATTGGTCCTGTTGACAGGAAGCTCATGCAAAGAACCTACAGCTAACCCGGCAGAAGGACTCTGGCCCTGCTGCCAAGGTCCTCGTACCTAGTTATGCGGCTGGATCTATAATTGGGAAGGGAGGACAGACAATTGTTCAGCTGCAGAAAGAGACTGGGGCTACCATCAAGCTCTCTAAATCCAAAGACTTTTATCCAGGGCCTGGTCTGTCAGTATGGACAGAAATACATGAACATTTCAATTCTTTTGGAAAATGTGGGCTATGGATAAAGGATGTGTATGCTCCGTTATACATTGTGTGTGTGGGTTTTGAATATATAGTTTGGGTTATATTTTAAATGATGTGTTTGGTTCTTATGTGATGGGTTTTGGCTTATGGTGTTTGGGTAGTTTTACTCTATTGTAGACTGTTTCAGAGAGCCTTTCTGCTGATGAGCAGTATAAAAATATTCTAAATAAATAAATAATAAAAAACAGTTTCTTTACCTTTAAAAGATGAAGGGATGAGAGAGATGCCTGGGGGTGATGGAGGATGCACAGAAGGGTGAATGGAATCTCACAGGAAATCAGAAGTACAGCTCAAAGCTCACCCCAGGCAGCATCCTCTCTGGGGAGGAGCCTATTCTGAGAGTGGCCAGATGCAGGACATCCCATGGAATGGTCTTTCTAGCCTTCCCGAAAAAAGCCCATGACATAACTGCACATATAACCAAAGAGGTGAGGAACCTGTGGCCCTCCAGGTTTTGGATTACAACTCCAGATTTGGGGCTGATGGGGGCCCAAGAACATTTGCAGGGGGCAGGGATGCTTGGGTCCTGCATCACTGGAGCCATGCCCTTACTCTTTCTGCCTCTGCCTCCAGCTGCATAAACTAATAGACACATATGGGGGGGTGTCACAAACCATAACAGTTTAAAAAGCCAAATTTAAAAGATGTGTCTTGACCCCCCCCCCCCCCCCCAATTCAGAGAGTGGAGAAAACAGTTGTTACTCCAGAGGGAGCGTGCTTCACAGTTTGGGAGCAACACTGGAGTGTTGCTCTGGATCTTCCAGTTATCTTAGTAACCAAGCAACAGTTGGTCTTTTAGATCATGGTGAAGCCTGCAGGGTCACTAGATTTTTGGGCACAGTACTGGTTACCTGACAGAACACAGTTTTACTAGTTGGAGCAATACTGGCTACTTTACCACTCACAGGTTCCAACTGGTGAGTTGATGACTTCCACCTTAGGACTGCCAACTTTTGCTTTAGAAAAAAATACTTGAGCTACATGGGCTACTGGTCAGAGAGCAGGGTGGCATCTGGTCGTATCTAGAGGCTCAGAGGAGGTGGAAATTGGGTCAGTGGTTTTGGTACAACACCTGCTTTATCATGTCGATTTATTCAACAGTATAGCTGATGCTTGAAAGCCTTCCCCTGACAGTGTGAAAAAGCAGTTCCAGCTACTGAGGTTTACCTGAAAAAGAACCCAGCCTAGGGGTTGCCAATAGCTGAACTGACTTCTTTCATTGTTCCTTTTAAACACACTTGGATTTAGAGTAAGGGTTTATTTGTTTGTTGGAGGACACCTCTCAAGAAAGCTACTAAGGCAACATAAAGTAGTAACAATCATCATCATCATCACATCAGGCATTTTACCTGCCCATTTAGTATTTGTGCCTCAGGGTTGGTACCAAGTTTTTTTTTTTTTTTTTGAACAAACCAATGTACCCCAGCACCTTCTGATTCCTAACCCTAACCCTATTGATGGCAATGTAATAACCAGCTTGACAGCTACAGTGTTTTGCCTGCATTTGCCCTTGAAGTCTGTTCAGAAACTTCAGTTAGTACAGAATACTGCTAGCCAAAGCCTGACTGGCATGAGCTGGTTTGCCCTTTCATGGGCTCTCTGCTCATTTCCAGGCTCAGTTCAAGGTGCTGCTTCTTACCTTTAAAGCCCTGAATGGTCTGGGACCAAATACCATTTGGCACTGCACTCGGAAACACATGCAGGAGCACACAGCGGAAACCTCACCATCACCACTTGCTCCTGGGTACCTTCTCTGCAACAGAGCCAACCTGAATGTTGCAGGAGCAGTGGCAAGAACAGCTGCAGGAACATCTGCTCCTGGCTTAAGGTATTATCGTCTAACATCCCCCAGGGTGCCCACATGTCTCTAGGAGAAAGCAACACCAGCCTGCAATGTGTCGAGTGGGCTCTCAGCGTGTTTAGCAATGGAGGAAGCTGGGGCTGCTATGGCGTAGTGCTGAACAGAAGGTGTAATGGCAGAGGTACAAGTAATGCCTGTACCAGGAGAGGGAAAGGTGTTTGAGACATCTGGGTGGCTCATTCCCCTCCTGTCCACCTTCTAACCTCAGTCATTCTGGTGGCTTGTCTGCAGGCTCTTCAAGCCTGGAGATGATGCCGATGAATCCCAGGTTGGGATTAGTAGAAAAGGCTGTCACCTCTGACCTTTTCACTGAGGAGCGGCGCCACCTTGGCTTGTGCCACTGAAACCTAGCTGAATGAACATGGAGTTCAGCTCTCCCAAATGGGTCTCCCAGCATTTCTTGTGTGGCATCAGGTGGACTAGAGGGATGTGGACAGGAGATAGTGTTGGTCTGTTGGTAAAAAAGCACCTTGGCTTGTTATGTTGTCTGAGATGAATGGGATAGTGTACCGTCTAGTCATGTTATGGACACCTTTTGTTTTGTGCAACTCGAGGATGTAAACAAACTGCCTAGATGACTGATGCCTACTATTTGCCCTTTAGATCCTTGTCTTTCCTGGCTGGTAAAAACTTCCAGAGCTGGTCTAGACACCTGGATCTCTGAGGTGCTAAATGACTCCTTAAGGAATGGTAACGGAAAGCTTGGGCTGAAGTGTTATTGGTAGGCAGCCAATACACAACTCTTCCTCTCATTTCCGTCTACACATTTCACAGTGATTGAAGGCCGTTTTGAGGGGGATGAGGGCAAACAAACTGAAACAAATCCAGACAAGATGAAAGTACCACAAGATGCAAACAAGATGCGAATTCAGACAAGAAGGAAACCAACTACTCTGAATTGAAGTTTACAACTGGTCTCAGATAGGATTATGCTGCCAATAAAGGACCAAGTGTGCTGTCTGGGAGTCTTCTGCATTAACTGGGGAAGTCCAGGTGAGTGGAGAATCCAGGAGTGTGTTTTACTTGCTTCACTTGGTACACTAGCTGCAGCCCTGTCTGGAGAGGACAGGCCTTGCTTCAGTTACCCATACACTAGTGATGTAACAGCCTAAGATAAAACCAAGATACCAACAGTAAAACCAGGCTCCATTGAAAATGTTCCTATATGGTGGTTTTTTTATATTACCAAAGTGGCTTACATCATTCTCCTCCTCCTGTTTTCAATCTGATCCCCACAATAACCCTATGAGGTAGGTCGGCCTGAGAGTCTGTGAGTGGCCCAAAGTCACCCAGTTGGCTTCATGGCTGAGTGAAGACTTGAACCCAGATTGTCTGAGTCCCAGGCCTCTATGCTCTTAACCACTACACCACTGACTCTCAGTTGTCAGATGTTTGGGAGCAGGGGAAGTATTCACCTGGTGCAGAACGCATGTCAATACTGGTACCAGGCAGGCCTCACTGAGAGGAGCATTCCCTGTGGCCATCTTCTGAACCTCCCTCAGAGTAGAGACTCAAGATGTTGATTGTAGAGACATTCCAGTAGGTAATTGTGGTTGTAATCCATGTAAGGCTTCTTAAGTCAAAGCCAGCACGTTGCATTGGTCCCAGAAACATATGGCCAATGCAATTGCTTTAATAGGTTGGTTGTTTTTCCTTTGGCGATACCTTGCCCTGAAATCTAACACGGTAACAAAAGGTTATAGATGGTTTGAAATAAGAAAAAATCTCTACTGGGATGACAGCCCATATGATGTAGTGGCTGGAGCACTGGACGGGGATTTGGGAAATCCAGGTACTAGTCTCCCACTCACACTCATGGTGATTCTCAGTCTAACCTTATTTACAGAGTTGTTATTGTGATGATAAAATGGAGAGAAGGAGAATCTTGAAAGTTGCCTTGGAGTCCTTGTAAGTGGAAGCAAGGTGGCATATAAATATAATGTAATAATAATAATTCAGCCTTTCTTACCGCATCACTCACCAGTTTTTATTTTCACATTATTTTTTTCGTTTTTTTAAAGGGAACAACTCTAAGAGTACCATAAAGTAACTCATATTCTCAAACATTTGGTCCATAATTAATTAACCCTGCATTTTCCTAGATTTCGATGCACTCCCCCCGCCCCGCAACCTTTTGGCAACAAAAAGACTTCAACTCCCAGCATTCCCCCGCCAACAGAGCATTTCCCCCTCCCCCAGCGTGCACGGGATCGCTCCCTAAATGTCCTTCCTGGGCCCCGCCCACAGTGCGTCTCTTGCTCCTCCCGCGCAGGAACAACAAAAATGAGGGGAAGCGCGGGATGAGGAGAGTTGGGAAAGAACCGAGATGAAAAGCGGCTGAGGCGGCAACGGAAACCAGGGAGCTGGCCGCAACCTGAGCGCCGGCGTCCCGCGGGTTCCTCCCCTGCCCGCCCACCGAGGAGCTTGTGCGAGGCTTTGACGTCATTCTTGTCAGTGTCAGCACATGGATGTGCAAATGCTCTGAGAGCCGCGCAGGTGGCCCCAGGCAGTTTTGAGGTCTGGGCGGAGCGAGGAGCTGGAAAGCGTAGCTAGGCTGACTGGCTGGCTGGCGGACTGGCGGGCGGGTGGGCAGGCAGGGAAGCAGGGCTGCCTCTTCCCTGTCTTTTCTTTATTTTTTCTTTCTAGCTTTCTCTCTTTAAAAAAACCCACTCCTGGTGCTGCTGCTGCTGTCGAGGCCAAAGGCGATCAAGAAGACAGCCCCCGTTCCCTTGGAGCAAGCTTGCCTTGGATCAGCTGTAACTTCACCAAGGAAGATCCACACATTTTTTTCTAAAAAAATTAAATTAATTCTAAAGACTGATTTGGGATTCCCTCCTCCTCTTCCACCTGCTCCGTTTTAGTTCCAACTGACAAATACCATCACCGAGAAAGCGGCTCAGAGAGAAAGAGAGAGAGAGAATGGCTCGACCTCTTCCTCTGAACCCAACTTTCCTACCTCCAACTTACGGGGTGCTGAAATCTCTGCTGGAAAACCCGCTCAAGCTACCGCTGCATCACGAAGACGGTGAGAATGACGGGGCTGGGGGTGGCGGGAGGTGACGGGAGCAGGAGAAAGATGCTTTCCAGGGGGATTCCTTAGTCCCCCCCGACTGGATTGCGTCCAGTTCAGTCGCGCGCGGATGCGATCGCGCGTTGCCTTCTCGCAGAAAAAATCCAAACCGCACTTTAAAATAAGTTTGCGCGTCGAGGCAGAGCACGGTGAATCCTCCGAAGAGCAGCCCCAAAGCAATTCTTCGTCATTTCGGCTCACTGAGGCTGCAAGCAAATCCAAACACGTTCATTATTTGGGATTGAAGTCTCAGGGAACGAAATGGGACTTACTCACAAATAAACACGCATAAGGTGACGCTACGCATTTAGTGGCACTTCAGCCGATTCCGCTCCTTGCAGTTTCAGCCGCTAGGTTTACTTGGAGGTAAGTTCCAGTTAGTTCGAATGGATTACTCTCAAGTAAGGGTATCTAGGATGTGGCCAGGATCGCAGCCCTGAGGGGAAGCGCTTCTCGGTTTGGACTGCGCTTGGCTTGCTGTGGTATATGGCTAAATCATAATCGTAGAGTATTTTGTGTATCTTATATGAGATTTCCACGATAACTTGAAAAGAGGCAAGAGAGCTGCTTGTTTTCCTTGAAGCACGTTCGAGCGCTAATCCCGAAACAGCTTTAAAATGGGGAGTTAAACTGCGGGCGACTTCACGGTGTAGCTCTGTGCATGTTTATTCAGGAGTAAGTACGCTTCTTTGCAATGAGGCTTACTCCCTGATAAGATTGTGTGCGATTGCAGCCGTAGTGATTTTAAATAGCAATCAACTCCTGCACTTGTTTTACTTGGATGTTGTGCCGGTTCATTTCTATGGATCTTCTTTCCAAGAAAGTACGGCTAGGATTGCAGCCAAAAATAAAGCTATTCAGTTTCTCTCCCCCATACGGGGAATGGATTGAAGCACGCACACCGCCTCGAGTATGCCTATTCTTAATTTGTAAATGTTTTGAGGGATGTTGGTACACAATATGTATTTCAGCTATGTTTGTGGACCTGCATATAAGGAAAACAGAGCCCTTACCAAATGAATCCTAAAGTTAGAAAGTTGCAAGAGGTGTTTCTAAATCTGTTAGTTCAGTCTAATTCAGTAGATTTCTGGCAGTTTGGTGTTACTGCTTTGCAACATAGAGGCTGCAATCCACATCTCACCCCAACTGTGCTGGTTAATAGTGGTAGAGAAGGTAGCCCTAAAGGTTTTCCTAGACCACACTGTGTATTACAACTGCACCGTATTATTTGTATGTTTGCTTGCTTCACTTTCTGCAGTGGGACTTATTCCTAAGAGAGAGACCATAAGTTCAGCCTTTAAGTCTGGTGAATGACAGAATTTAGTCAACCATAAGGGCAACTATAAAGGACTTCAGGATCAAGAATGTTTCTAGAGGAAGTATAATTGCAGGGAAAGTTTGCGGGGGGAGGGGGAGTGGAGGGAATAGTGTGTGGCAAACCATTGCCAGTTATTGACAGCCTGAGTCATTTCCAATCCTGAAAACATTTGGTATTGGTAAAAATTAAAACAAAGCATAAATCTAGACGTTGATGGCCAGCATGTCTTTCAAGACACTTGTTAGAGAATTTTCAGGTGCATCTTTGGCCAGCATAGTAATTGCTGTGATTAGTGTCTTGCAGACTTTATAAAGTCTGTTTATATCGAAGCAAAGGCCAAGCTACAAGTGATGTGAAAGATCCTTCATTAGATTTCTCATCTCTTTATACACAGATGTAAAATTTATGAATCTTTATTCTCAGTGAATTTCCTCTCCAAAGCAATTTGCATAATCAAAAATCTCTCACCCATCTTGGTTGTTGCTTGCCCTATGATATATGGCTTTTCAGACTCCAAGGAAGAAATAGTTCATCTATATTCTTGCTTTTAGGCAAATGTGGGTATCAAAAATTCCGCCAGTTGTGTATGTGTCATGGGGGTAGAAGCAGGAAGACTTAGATCAGGAAAACCATCCACAAAGGAGGTTCAGTAGACCATTCCCTGCCTCTCTGCTGCTGCAGCTGCAATTTCCTGTGTAATGTGTAGTTTCCCCTGCAGCCAGTGGGGTTTAGTGGATTTTAAGAAACCCCAAGCAAAGTTTCAAGAAAATGCATGAGAATTACTTCTGCTTAAGTGACCTTTCACTATGCTTGCTTGTTAGGATATTTAGAATATCCTAAATATCTTACTTGGCTTATTTTTCTGTATGACAGTATTCTCCTACAGGATACATTTCTATATGCTCTTACCTGAGAGTAAGCCCCATTGAACTCAAGAGCAGCTACTTTTGAGTAGACATGCATAATCTCCAGTTTATTCTAGGTTAATTTTAATGCCTGTTTTGGAAATGCTAACTCCACACATCTCATCCTCTACCTCTATTGACAAGACTACAGCACTTTGCCTTATAAGTCAGGTTCCCACCTTTTAAGCAGTGAAGATGCAGATTATGTTTCTTTGGACCTAGGCCACTGGGCTTTTTAAAAAGAGTATAAACTTTCACATAAAAAGCCCAACTAAGGCCTCCATTTTGGAGGTTTTCTTGTTCAAGCCCTGCTGAAATGAATAGGAGGAGCATCAAAGCATTCTGTGCTGTCACACTGGACTGGCTCTCTTCAATGGGACTTGAGTGGGATAGCTTCCTGGTGGATTGCACCCTTGTGGGCAGTTTCTACTCTGATTCCCCAAATTCTCTACCTTCTGCTCTGATGAAGATGTGGAATGTTGTGGATTGAAGCTTACATATGCTGTAAGTGAAGAATGCAGATGAATTGTTAATTAAAAGCAGAGGCGGAAGCCATGCATAGATTTAATGAGTTGAACATTTACCCAGAAACCTTTTAAATTCTGTACCAAACTTAAAGCCCAGAGATCTTAGTAATTGTGAAAGGATTAGCTCTTCGTTTTTTCATTGCACAAAAGAGCTGAAAAATGCCTTAGTGAAAATGCTGACTTTTTCTTCCTCTTTTCTGTCGGCCCTCCATATTTAGCTTTTTATAAAGACAAAGACAAAGAAAAAAAGCTGGATGACGACAATACCAGTGCCACTGTCCCACAGTCTGCTTTCCTGGGCCCTACATTATGGGACAAGACGCTTCCATACGATGGCGATACTTTCCAATTGGAATACATGGACCTGGAAGAGTTTCTCTCAGAGAACGGCATTCCGCCCAGCCCAGCCCAGCATGAGCACAGCCCTCACCCACCAGCTCTTCAGCAACCTACCTCAGCAACACCTTCTGTCATGGACCTCAGCAGCAGAGCATCCACATCGGTCCACCCAGCCATGGTTTCTCAGAACTGCATGCCAAGCCCAGTCAGGCCAGGTAAAAGCCACGTAGTCTTTTTATGAGGGATGCTCTAGCCACCACAACCGGAAGAATCCTTTCTCCTTTATGGTTTCGGGCAGCTGTTGGCACTGAGTTGCGCAGAAGCAGCAGTCCTCATGCAGCCCTTTACATCCTGGTCCTGAGCAGCCTAGTCAAGGGATGCATTTGTAGGGTGTGTGGGGTCAGCGTTCGAGCCCCAGCATCCTTGTTTGCCCCCTTGCCGTGTTGTATCTCTGCTTGCATTTGCACTTGGTGCGAACGGGAACTCTGAATTCAGGCAAATGCAAGTACAAGCCCCTCTCAGAGTTGGCTGCTAAACAGAGCAAACTGGGTCAGCCAGTGGGGGAATATGGGGGCAGTGGTGCATCACACCTGCACAGGTTAAGATTCCACACAGAGGCCTAACGCCTGAACCAGACTTTAGCTGAAAGTAAATCCCACTGATTAAGATGGTACTTTCTTTCCAGCACCAGTCCATGAATTCCTAGCCGTGAGGAGTAAGCTGCCTTCTTCCCAGTAGCACCTTCCCATAGTGCCTGGGAAGCCCACGAGGGAGGCCAGTTGTCATATGTTTCATTGTGCCTCGTATTTTTTCTTTTCTTTGGCAAAGCTTCTTGGCTTTTGCTCACATTTTTCAAATCTGTATCTGTTTAAAGCTCCTAACTCAGCCAGGCAGGGGCAACCCACTCATCCTAGTAACAAACATTAAGAGGTACTCAAAGACCTAACAAATGAAATTCTAGAATTCTCAATGTGTTTTAAACAATAAGGGCACAACCTTGTGTATGTTTAGAGAGCAAAAAGCCCTACAGCTCCCAGCATCCCTCCAGTCAGCCCTCTTGGCTAGGGCATGCTGGGAAGTGTAGGGCATTTTTCTGCCTAACCTTGCATAGGATTGTACCCCTAGTTCTTTAAGCGGGTGGGGGAATAACTCATGAAAGCAGCTACTATCAAGTGCAGAAAATATAGCAAAGCTTGTGCCTTCCATGTAAGGATTTTGAAGCTTGCAAAGTAGTTTTTGGAAACATCAGTGACAATGCCATGGTTGATTAGAAAGGGGCTGGCTAAACTGGATTTTCAAAATGAGAAGGCCAGGTCATCATTTCAGAAGTCACTATCGAAGCTCACAGTTTTGCAGCAGATGTTGTGAGAGAGAAGGCAGGGTTTTGAACTTGGTGCTTTCCTGAAAAAAAAAAATAATGGGGAGCTGGGGAAGGATTTGGAGGGACAAATCAGTTAGGTGGGTCCTTCTTTTCCCTGAAAAAGTTCTGTCAGGTTGTTTCTAAATGTTTCTTTGCCTGCTGCTGAGCTTTGGACCCCAGAAGCCAGCCCAGTTAGGAGAAAGCTCTCTAGTGGGTGGGGAATGTGCAGTGGATAAGTGGTTGTGGGAAGGGTCAAACACTCCTTCCTCTACCCCTCTTCTCCTTTGCTGTTATACTTCTCTGCTCCTGCATTTGTGTTACTGTACAGACCCTTATTTGCAAAGGTAGCATAAGGATATTCACCTAGTGTAAGCATCTTCATGTAGAATTGTTCCTGAGGATTGTTAATCTGAAAGCTTCTGTGTGATATCTTTGAACATGGATTTCCCTCAGAGTACACGTCTCGGAAATGGCATAGTCCCCACACAGTGTTTTCTTGTGGAATTGCTCATACACCTTTTAAAAGTTCATTAGTGAATCCAAAACAGTTCAAGCTGTAAGGCTGCTTTAAGTCTTTGTTTAAAGAGACACAGTTTGGAAATGGTGTACAATTAAGACCACAATCCTAAGCATATATATTAGAGGGTAACTCCTACAGAACACAGTGGAACTTGGCAACCTGATCCTGTTAGGCAGTCAGTCAAAAAAGAAAATAGGGCCAGTTCATCTATAATGGTTGTGATGTTTTGTAGTAATTTCCCATAGAATGAGGGAAATCCATCTAAACTGCCTGTCTACATCTGACTGCCCAAAGTCAGATTAAAATACTTCATTCTCACTTGGGTTTATTTTTTTGCTCATCCTACATTTGCTGAAATCAGAAAGATTTCTGCGGAACAGGAAGCCACTCCTTACCCTCCTGTTATGGGACATCCAGCCATGTGGGAACTTGAGACCATTGTCGAAGCCATCAGATAAGAAGTCAAAATAAATAAAGAAAACCGCTCACATTGGGTTGGAAAAGACCAGTGGGGCAAAACCTGCACGGTGTCTGCATCTCTATTCAATGGAAACATCAAAGCTGGGCACAACCCTGTTACCACAAACAGAGAGGAACGTGTGCCTTTATACACGTGCCTTTATACTGTGTTTCTCTGAAAATAAGAGTGCATCTCTCTCACACACACACCATTTGACTGTGTGGAGGCACCATCACAGCATTTTTGTGTTCCCTGAAGTTGATTCAAATGGAGGACTCTCCAGTGGAGACTGTTCACATATTTTCTGAAGGGTCAAGTAGTTAAGTATTGACTAATCCAGTGATTAAAAATGCATATAAGAACTGGCTACAAGTGGCTTCCTTCAGCCTGGAGGGCTACTCTTTGCAGGTCTGTGGGTTTTTTTGGTCTTCGACTTGTGCAGTTTCAGGCTTGTATAGACTGCATGGATGAAAGCAGGAGCCAAATGGCCTCTTGCCAAAGGAGAAGTAATAGCTCAGGGTGAATATGTACTTATTTATTTATATTTTATTAAATTTTATATATCTGAAACATTCTGGGCAGTTTATGAGACACATTAATAAAACCCAAATAAAGATACATTGCATTAAAAACACATTAAAACGTCATTATAAGTTTCCAAAATTTAAAACTACATATTAAGCAGGTTACTGTATATATTATAATAACATAAAGAAGAAAAAATAGAAAGAGAAAAATATTCAGAACCATTTAACAGCAGGCCTCAGAAACTACTTTAATGCCCTGCAGTGGAGGATGGTCTTTACTCGGTACTGATAAGATAGTGAAGTTGGTACCAGGGGACCTCCGTGGGGAGCTCATTCCATGACTGAGGGGGTCTTACTGAAAAGCCCCTTCTTATTGCCAGCAACCAAGCCTATCTTGGAGGTTGCAGCTGGAGATGCCCGCAGAATTTGATGGTAATGTCCAGGTGGAAGAAGGTTGGGAGAGGCATTCTGTGCATTATAATGGTCCCAAGCCATGTAGAGCTTTATAGGTTAAAACCAGCACCTTTAATTAGGCTTAGAAGGATATAGGTAGCCAGTGCAAGTGTGCCAGAATTGGTGCTATATGATCAGATCATCTGGCTCCTGGTATCAGTCTGGCTGCCACATTTTGCACAAGTTGCAGCTTCCAAACAACCTTCAAGGGCAGCCCCATGCAGAGTGCATTGGAGTAAATGAGCTTAAAGATTACCAAAGCACAGATCACTGGCAAAAGGCTATCTCTGTCCAGACAGGGGCATAGCTGAGCCACCAGCCAAAGCTGGTGGCAGGCACTCTGAGCCACTGAAGCGACCTGGGCTGCAAGTGACAAAGATGGCTCAGTGAGCACCCCCAAGCTATGAACCTGTTCCTTCAAGGGGAGTGTAACCTCATCTGGAACAGGTTGAATTCCCTCCATCTGGTCAGAAGAATGACCCACTGATGGCATCTCGGCCTTGTCTGGATTGAGCTTCAGTTTGTTAGCCCACATCCAGTTCAGTGTTGCAGCCAGGCTCAATGTGTTGCAGTGTTGCAGCCAGGTTCAATGCATCCACAGCCTCACCTGCTGCAGATGAAAAGGGGAGAAAGAGTGCTGTGTGTCATCAACATATTGGTGGCAATACACGCAAACTCCAGATGACCTCACCCAGTGTTTTCATGTGGATGTTGAATGACACGGGGGCAAGACGGACTCCTGGGGAATCCAAGGGGCAGAGCTCTATCCCCCAGGTTCCACCTTCCGGAGCCTACCATCCAAGTAAGAGTGGAACCACTGCAGTGCAGTGCCCCTCACTCCAACTGTTGCCACTTGGTTGGTGGCATCAAAAGCTGCTGGGAGGTCCCAGAGAAACAGCAGGGTCACACTTCCCCTGTCTCTCTCCCAGCATAGTGCGACCAAACCAGGCCTAAACCTGATTGAAATGGATCCAGATAATCAGTCTCATCCAAGAGTGCCTGGAGCTGGTTGGCCACCACCCGGGATCCTTTCCGAGGAAGGGGATATTTGGCACTGGCCTAAAACTGAGTTCTTCTGAATCCAGAAACAATTTCTTCAGGAGCAGACTCACCACTACTTGTTTCAGGTGGCCTGGGACCACTCCTCCATGTCGGGCAGGCAGAAGTAATCCTGCTCCTTTTTATTTTAAAAAGTATCATCAGTCTGCACAAAAGTTTAATCTTTTGGATTTTGTGTCTTCGGAGAGCTGGTTCAAATGTTGGAAAAGGTCAGTAGTTTGGTCAGCTCTCATATATCACAGCATATGGAAAGTGAGATCATTTGTGACAGGTTTAGGTAATGTCCAAGCATGTCAGCTGCAGGGCATCCTTTCAAATAAGTGATTGCAGTATTACATATATAGCTTGCCTTTTTTTTTTTTTGCTTCTGCAAGGAATCCAAGGCAGATTATATAATTCCCCATCTCCCCAGTGTATTCTCACAACAGCATTTTGGGGTAGGTTAAGCTGAGAGCCAGTGACTGGCCCAAGTCAGCCAGGGAGTTTCTTGGCCAAGAGTGGAATGGAACTCCAGTTTTCTGAGGCTCCGTACTGTGATCCAGCCATGGCACCACACTGGCTCATTTTTAGGTGATATAGTCACTGCGGAAGACTGTGCCATATGCTTTTCTGTACTTCTGAATCAGCTGCCTTACACACATCACATGCACAAGCATGTGATGGAGGAGACTGCAAATTATCAGAAAGGTAATCCATTACCAGTCCTTTTTGAGGGACCCAGGAATGCATTTAATGAACACCTTTCAAAGTTAATCTGCAGCCTTTTCTATGGGTCAGTCTTCTGTGTGGTTTGTGTTCTCTGTGGGTTTAAGACCCCGCTACACACACTTATTTGT